CATCAGCAGCATCATCAACTTCTTTACCATCATCAAGATCAGCAGCAGCATCATCGTCAGCATCCTCATCATCATCAGCAGCAGCAGCATCCTCATCACCAGCAGCATCATCAGCAGCACCAGTATCACCATCATCATCAGCATCAGCATCCTCCACCTCCCTCTTACCCTCCTCCTCCTCCTCCTCCTCCTCCTCCTCCTCCTCCTCCTCCTCCTCCTCCCTCCTCATCCTCTCCTCCTCCTCCTCCTCTCCCTCCCCCCCACCTACCCCCCCCCCTCATCCTCCTCCTCTCCCCTCATCCGCCTTCTCCCCTCCTCCTCCTCCTCCTCCTCCTCCTTATCCTCCCCTCCTCCCTCCCCCTCCTCCCCCCCCTCCTCTTCCTTCCTCCCCTTCTCCCCTACACCTCCCCTCATCCTCCTTCATATCCTCCTCCCCTCTTCCTCTCCTCCTTCTCCTTCCTCCTTCCCGCATCTCCTCCTTCTCCTTCTCTCCCTCTCCCGTTCTTCTGCTCCTCCTCTTCTCCTCCTCCTCCTCCTTCTCCTCCTCCTCCCGACCTCCTCCTCCTCCCTCTCCTCCTCCTCTCCTCCTCCTCCTCCTCCTCCTCCTCCTCCTCCTCCTCCTCCCCCTCCCCCTCCTCTCCCTCTCCCTCTCTCCCCGCCGTTGTTTTGCGGCGGTGCTGGTCCTGCCAGTGGGGGGCCCCACGTGGTGTCAAGCTTAACCCGCTCCCCCATAAGTTGGGTTGTTCAGAGTTCGTGCCCGTTTTCCGCATGAGTAGAGTAACTCCTTTGGACTCTCGCGCGTTGTTCATTGTTCCTCTCCCTCCCTCCTCATATTCCTCCCTCCTCTTTTCCCTCCTCCTCCCCCCTGGGAGTCAGAAGGCTGCCCGACTGCATCGGAGCTTACCCCGCCGACAGGGGGGCCCTGAGGCAGCAGCCTGGGACAGAATGATGAGGAGGAGGAGGACGACGACGACGACGACGGCGACCTGGGAGAATTCAAGGGCGTTAGCGAGTCGGTCGTTTCGGCTGCGTCGCAGTCGGTTGCGTTTTTGTCGGTTCGGGTCGGTCGGCTGCCGTGCCGTTGCTGCGCCGCGTCGCCCTTCAAGGTTGCTTGCGACATCTCGGTCTGACTCGGTTTCGGTTTCGCTGTCGCCTCGTTCGGTGTTGGCTGTTGGTTGGGCTGTCGCCGTGGACGGCCTCGGGGCTGTCTGGAGGTCTCCTCGGCAGAGCGGGCGCGGGGTTCTGAGGACTGGGGGGTCGGTCGAGGCGGGCCACCACCCAGGAGCGCAGGCTCGGCATGCGCGCACGGCCTCATGACGTGAGCACGGGAGCAGGCGGCGGGCGCTGGTGTCCTTCGGCGCTCTGGGAGCCCACTTGCCACGCTTGGTGCGGAGGCGATGTGTCTAAGGGGGGGGCTGGCGACCCTGAGGTCTCGGGGTCCAATATCATTACGATTTGCATCCTGGCCCGACATTATCCCACCATCGCTTCACGTGAAGACCACCACCCAGCGTGTTTGATATCTTGGCCGCGCTTATCCTATTACTTGTTTACGCACGTGCATGTACCAGACGTCGTCCTGGGATGACTTCTGCTTGCTGCATTGGAGACAACACTGTCGTCGCCGAGAAGTGTTGCAGCATTGTTGGTACATCTTGGGTTTACTGTGGTCCCATTCCTCCTCCTCGCTTCGTCGACAAATGGTCAGGTCTGGGCTTTGTCAGCAATACACGGTCCGTTTCGATCCGATCGATCCGACTCGATATCGATTCTGGCTGGCTCGAACCGATTCGACTCCGATATTCTGACGATCGGGCGCGGCCCGATGCTTGTTTGGCGGTGTTGTGCACTTCGGCCCAACAGATCCTGTTCGATTTTGACTCCGTGCCGATGGAGCCCGATCATTCCGATTCGATCCGAATTCTAGATTCGATGCTGATTGATCTTGGGATTCGGTAGTTCAGATTTTCGCATAGGTCGGGGGGCGAGTGGGAGAGAGGAGCGGCCCACCGCGCCGCTTGCCGCGTCTGAACACAAGGGAAGCCATGCTGAGCGGCTTGCACGTCATGGGTTCTCACTTCACGGGCGCCACCGACGAGGATGAGGAGCTGATCCCTGGAAAGCCGGTCCGCCGCCCCACGTTCAGTCGTTGACCGGGGCGTTCTTGGCCCGAGGCCTTCGCTTCGGGTCGCCAATTGGGGCCTCCAGGGGGGGCATCGTTTCACCATGGGAACAACAAACGACAGAAGCATATACACATTGTTGGGTGTCCGGGCGGGCCTCAGACAGTTGATTGCCCATATCCTATCTATGGAGTCTTTGTTCTTAGTGTGACGCCTCCGCCTTCCCGCCCTGAGAACCATGGAAAGATTTCATGGTTCGTGCGACGCATTATGCGGAACAGAAGCTTTCTGATTTGGGACTGCGGGATTGGGTGGTTTAACATCGCCGAGCCTCCGTATCATGGTCAAAACGCATGGACACGGAAAGCATATCTTGGGCACAAGTGGCGTGCAATTGGGAACCGTTCGATTTTATTACAAGGCCGGAAGGTCCGCGGAAAAGATGGGCGGATTCTGTAAAGGCTTATGACCAGGACGACGACGAGGACTGAGTTTTCCGCCTGCCGGCGCCGAGGCGCCAGCGCGCCGTCCATTCTTGGACCGGCCTCTGGGCCGCTGTGGCGTGCGTGCGTGCGCGTGTGTGTGTGTGTGCGTGTGTGTGTGTGTGTGTGTCTCTGTGTCTCTGTGTCTCCGTTTCTCTGTGTCTCTGTGTCTCTGTGTCTCTCTGTGTCTCTCTGTGTCTCTCTGTGTCTCTCTGTGTCTCTCTGTGTCTCTCTGTGTCTCTCTGTGTCTCCTTGTGTCTCCTTGTGTCTCTGTGTCTCTGTGTCTCTGTGTCTCTGTGTCTCTGTGTCTCTGTGTCTCTGTGTCTCTCTGTGTCTCTCTGTGTCTCTCTGTGTCTTTTTGTGTCTCTCTGTGTCTCTCTGTGTCTCTCTGTGTCTACTCTGTGTCTTTCTTGTGTCTCTCTGTGTCTCTCTGTGTCTCTACGTTTGTCTCTCTGTGTCTCTCTGTGTCTATCTGGTCTCTCTGTGTCTCTCTGTGTCTCTCTGTGGTCTCTCTGTGTCCTCTGTGTCTCTCTGTGTCTCTGTGTGTCTCTCTGTGTCTCTCTGTGTCTCTCTGTGTTCCTCTGTGTCTCTCTGTGTCTCTCGTTGGTCTCTCTGTGTCTCTCTGTGTCTCTCTGTGTCTCTCTGTGTCTCTCTGTGTCTCTCTGTGTCTCTCTGTGTCTCTCTGTGTCTCTCTGTGTCTCTCTGTGTCTCTCTGTGTCACTCTGTGTCTCTCTGTGTCTCTCTGTGTCTCTCTGTGTCTCTCTGTGTCTCTCTGTGTCTCTATGTGTCTCTCTGTGTCTCTCTGTGTCTATCTGTGTCTCTCTGTGTCTCTCTGTGTCTCTCTGTGTCTCTCTGTGTCTCTCTGTGTCTCTCTGTGTCTCTCTGTGTCTCTCTGTGTCTCTCTGTGTCTCTCTGTGTCTCTCTGTGTCTCTCTTTGTCTCTCTGTGTCTCTCTGTGTCTCTGTGTGTCTCTCTGTGTCTCTGTGTGTCTCTGTGTGTCTCTGTGTGTCTCTGTGTGTCTCTGTGTGTCTCTGTGTGTCTATTTTGGTTTTTTTTTTTAGGGTGTCTCGGTGTGTCTCTTGTGTTTCTTTTGTGTGTCTCTGGGGTCTCTGTGTGTCTATGTGTGTCTCTGTGTGTCTCTGTGCTGTCTCTGTGTGTCTTGTGTGTCTCTGGTGTTCTCTGTGTTGTCTCTGTGTGTCTCTGTGTGTCTCTGTGTTGTCCTTGTGGTGTCTCTGGTGCATACCCGGTTCCAGCAGACCTGTCTGCTGTGAGTCTCTGTGGTTGTGTGTGCTCTGTGTGTCTCTGTGTGTCTCTGTTGTGTCTCCGGTGTCTCCGTGGTCGTCTCCGTTGTGTATCCGTGTCTCTATGTGTGTTCGTTTGGGTCTCCGTGTGTCGCCGTTTGTCTGTGTCTCCGTGTGTCTCCGTGTGTCTCCGTGTGTCTCCGTGTGTCTCCGTGTGTCTCCGTGTGTCTCCGTGTGTCTCCGTGTGTCTCCGTGTGTCTCCGTGTGTCTCCGTGTGTCTCCGTGTGTCTCCGTGTGTCTCCGTGTGTCTCTGTGTGTCTCTGTGTGTCTCTGTGTGTCTCCGTGTGTCTCCGTGTGTCTCTGTGTGTCTCTGTGTGTCTCTGTGTGTCTCTGTGTGTCTCTGTGTGTCTCTGTGTGTCTCTGTGTGTCTCTGTGTGTCTCTGTGTGTCTCTGTGTGTCTCTGTGTGTCTCTGTGTGTCTCTGTGTGTCTCTGTGTGTCTCTTTGTGTCTCTGTGTGTCTCTGTGTGTCTCTGTGTGTCTCTCTGTGTCTCTGTGTGTCTCTGTGTGTCTCTGTGTGTCTCTGTGTGTCTCTGTGTGTCTCTGTGTGTCTCTTTTTGTCTCTTTTTGTCTCTGTGTGTCTCTGTGTGTCTCTTTGTGTCTCTGTGTGTCTCTGTGTGTCTCTGTGTGTCTCTGTGTGTCTCTGTGTGTCTCTCTGTGTCTCTCTGTGTCTCTCTGTGTCTCTCTGTGTCTCTCTGTGTCTCTCTGTGTCTCTCTGTGTCTCTCTGTGTCTCTCTGTGTCTCTCTGTGTCTCTCTGTGTCTCTCTGTGTCTCTCTGTGTCTCTCTCTGTCTCTCTGTGTCTCTCTGTGTCTCTCTGTGTCTCTCTGTGTCTCTCTGTGTCTCTCTGTGTCTCTCTGTGTCTCTCTGTGTCTCTCTGTGTCTCTCTGTGTCTCTCTGTGTCTCTCTGTGTCTCTCTGTCTCTCTCTGTGTCTCTCTGTGTCTCTGTGTGTCTCTGTGTGTCTCTGTGTGTCTCTGTGTGTCTCTGTGTGTCTCTGTGTGTCTCTGTGTGTCTCTGTGTGTCTCTGTGTGTCTCTGTGTGTCTCTGTGTCTCTCTGTGTCTCTCTCTGTGTCCTCTTCTCTGTGTCTCTACTCTGTGTTCTCTCTCTGTGATCTCTCTCTGTTGTCTCTCTCTTGTCTCTCCCTGTGTCTTCTCCTGTGTCTTCTTGTGTGTCTCTCTGTGTGTCTCTCTGTGTGTCTACTCTGTGTGTCTCTCTGTGTTTTCGTGGTTGGTCTCTCTGGTGTCTCTGTGTGTGTCTCTGTGTGTGTCTCGTGTGTGTCTCTGTGTGTGTCTCTGTGGTGTGTCTCTGTTTGTGTCTCTGTGTGTGTCTCTGTGTGTGTCTCTGTGTGTGTCTCTGTGTGTGTGTCTGTGTGTGTCTCTGTGTGTCTCTCTGTGTGTCTCTCTGTGTGTCTCTGTGTGTGTCTCTGTGTGTGTCTCTCTGTGTGTCTCTGTGTGTCTCTCTGTGTGTCTCTATGTGTCTCTGTGTGTCTCTGTGTGTCTCTGTGTGTCTCTGTGTGTCTCTGTGTGTGCGTGTGCGTGTGCCGTGTGGCCGTGTGCCGTGTGTGCCGTGTGTGCCGTGTGCCGTGTGTGCCGTGTGCCGTGTGCCGTGTGCCGTGTGCCGTGTGCCGTGTGCCGTGTGCCGTGTGCCGTGTGCCGCGTGCCGTGTGCCGCGTGCCGCGTGCCGCGTGCCGCGTGCCGCGTGCCGCGTGCCGCGTGCCGCGTGCCGCGTGCCGCGTGCGCGTGCGCGTGCGCGTGCGTGTGTGCGTGTGTGCGTGTGTGCGTGTGTGCGTGTGTGCGTGTGTGCGTGTGTGCGTGTGTGCGTGTGTGCGTGTGTGCGTGTGTGCGTGTGTGCGTGTGTGCGTGTGTGCGTGTGTGCGTGTGTGCGTGTGTGCGTGTGTGCGTGTGTGCGTGTGTGCGTGTGTGCGCGTGTGTGTGCGTGTGTGCGTGTGTGCGTGTGTGCGTGTGTGCGTGTGTGCGTGTGTGCGTGTGTGCGTGTGTGGGTGTGTGGGTGTGTGGGTGTGTGGGTGTGTGGGTGTGTGGGTGGTGTGTGGGTGTGTGGGTGTGTGGGTGTGTGGGTGTGTGGGTGTGTGGGTGTGTGGGTGTGTGGGTGTGTGGGTGTGTGGGTGTGTGGGTGTGTTGGTGTGTGGGTGTGTGGGTGTGTGGGTGTGTGGGTGTGTGGGTGTGTGGGTGTGTGGGTGTGTGGGTGTGTGGGTGTGTGGGTGTGTGGGTGTGTGGGTGTGTGGGTGTGTGGGTGTGTGGGTGTGTGGGTGTGTGGGTGTGTGGGTGGGTGGGTGTGTGGGTGTGTGGGTGTGTGGGTGTGTGGGTGTGTGGGTGTGTGGGTGTGTGGGTGTGTGGGTGTGTGGGTGTGTGGGTGCGTGTGGGTGTGTGGGTGTGTGGGTGCGTGTGGGTGCGTGTGGGTGCGTGTGGGTGCGTGCTTGTGTGTGTGTGTGTGCGTGTGCGTGTGCGCGTGTGCGTGTGCGTGTGCGTGTGCGTGTGCGTGTGCGTGTGCGTGTGCGTGTGCGTGTGCGTGTGCGTGAGCGTGCGCGTGCGCGTGCGCGTGCGCGTGCGCGTGCGCGTGCGCGCGTGCGCGTGCGCGTGCGCGTGCGCGTGCGCGTGCGCGTGCGCGTGCGCGTGGGCGTGCGCGTGCGCGTGTGCGTGTGCGTGTGCGTGTGCGCGCGTGCGCGTGTGCGCGTGCGCGTGCGCGTGCGCGTGCGCGTGCGCGTGCGCGTGCGCGCGTGCGCGTGCGCGTGCGCGTGCGCGTGCGCGTGCGCGTGCGCGTGCGCGTGCGCGTGCGCGTGCGCGTGCGCGTGCGCGTGCGCGTGCGCGTGCGCGTGCGCGTGCGTGCGCGTGCGCGCGTGCGCGTGTGCGTGTGCGTGCGCGTGCGCGTGCGCGTGCGCGCGTGCGCGTGCGCGTGCGCGTGCGCGTGCGCGTGCGCGTGCGCGTGCGCGTGCGCGTGCGCGTGCGCGTGCGCGTGCGCGTGCGCGTGTATGTGTATGTGTATGTGTATGTGTATGTGTATGTGTATGTTGGCTGTTGGCTGTTGTCTGTTGTCTGTTGTCTGTTGTCTGTTGTCAGGTTGTCTGGTTGTCTGGTTGTCTGGTTGTCTGGTTGTCTGGTTGTCTGGTTGTCTGGTTGTCTGGTCTGGTGTATGGTGTATGGTGTATGGTGTTTGTGGTGTGTGGTATGTGGTATGTGGTATGTGGTATGTGGTATGTGGTATGTGGTATGTGGTATGTGGTATGTGGTATGTGGTATGTGATATGTGGTGTGTGGTGTGTGGTGTGTGGTGTGTGGTGTGTGGTGTGTGGTGTGTGGTGTGTGGTGTGTGTGTGCTCGCCACTGCACCCTGGGCCCCGCCGACTCTGGCCGCCTGAGGCCCCGCCCACCTGTGCCCTGTCTCCCTAATTAAAGCTGTGCGTAGCCCGCCTAGCTTTTAGCGGAAGAGGCTCGCTCTCGCCCTGCAGATCAAAAAAGTGTGTGCTCACCATCTCCTCATTCGCATTCCTGGCTCGCTCACACGCAGGCTCGCTCACACCCACGCCATCTCGCAGGCGCAGCCACTTTTGGGCTCGGGGTGCAGGGGGGCTCCCCGTGTGCCCCTGTGGACGCCGCTGGCCCGCGGCGGGCAGGGCAGCTCGGCGGTTCGCCGCCCTCCGGCGGGTGTGCTGGCGGGGGCCTCCGCCAGGGCCGTGTTGCGGGGGTGGGCCTGCGCGGAGGGCGGCGGGTCGCCCCACCATGTGGAAACAAGAGAAGGAAACAAACACGACAAAAAAGACTTGGCTGCTCAGCATTGTTCTTCGACCTCCTGGCCCGCCGTGGGCTCGCATCGGCGCGGGGGCACCGATGGCGGGCGGCGGTGGCGGCGCGCCCGAGGCCCAGGGGGGCATCAGGTCATGGTCGCGTGGGCAGGTGCCAGGAGGGAGGCAGCGTGCCACGCCTGTGGCAAGGAGCCGCCGAGGGCCCCGTGGACTCTTGCGGAGGTGCTGCGCACGGGCGGCGAGTCGTGCACGGCCAGCGCCAAGGCCACGGAGCGCGAGTAGATAGCAGAGAACGCCAAGTTCGGGGCCGAGGACGCCGAGGCCAAGAAGGAGCACAGATCGGCCGAGCTCGAGCCGTCAGCGGAGGGCCCCAGCCGGGTGGAGAGGCTCCCGTGCCAGAAGAAGATGTCGGTGGAGGCTTCTGGCGACGGGCACAACTATGTGCGCGAGCTCGACGGCAAGCTGGAGAAGGCCCGAGAGGCCCGGGACAAGGCGAAGTTGCTGGAGTTGCGGTTCCGCGAGGCCACGGCAAAGGTGCGGCGAGCGGACAAACATGTGGTCGTCACGCAGTGCGACCAGCAGCAAGGCCAGGACCAGATGTTGTTCTGCATGCGGCCCGTGCTGTGTGCGCGCCATCCCGGAGAGAAAGGGCGTCAGGCGGTTCAGGGTGGCGTGATAGGGAGACACCTACACCACGCACCTACTCACAGAGCTCGAGCACGTGGGAGCGCGGGTGGGTTAGAGAGCGTGTTTTTTCATTCAATGCAAGTGCGCGCTGTGCGCATGCGAGGAGGGGGAGGGGGCCCACGAGGAGGATGGAGGAGGAGCAGAAGGAGGAGGAGGAAGAGGAGGAGGAGGAGGGGATAGCGCCCTGGGAGGGGGCGCTTCGCCGCACAACACGAGGCCGAAGACGCTCAGGACGGTCTCATCGACCACGGATTCTCTGGGGAGCGGCCTCCAGACGGGCAACGCCGACAGCGCGGGCGCGAGGCTCCCCATTGACCACACAGTGCTGGGCTGACAGCTGGTCGCGCGCGCCGCAGAATTCGGACAAGGACCGCGACTCCCGGGAGCCACACCATGGCGGCAAGCGGGAGAGGATGGGAGAAGGAGGAAGGAGGAGGAGGAGGAGGAGGAGGAGGAAGAGGAAAAAGAAAGCGCCCTGGATTGGAGCGCTTAGCCGCAAAGCACGGGGCCGAAGATGTTCACGACGCTCTCATCGAGCACGGACTCCTTCGGGAGCGGCCTCCGGAGAGCAGCGCAGACCCGCTTGGGTGCGAGACCCACCTTGACCACACAATGCTGGGCCAACAGCTGGTCGCACATGCCGCAGCCGCGAAGATCGGCCAGGGACCGCGACCCCCAGGAGCCGCACCATGGCGGCGAGCTGGAGAGGAGGGGCGGAGGAAGGAGGAGGAAAGGACAAGCGTATGCCGCTGCATCACCCGACCAAGCCGCAACGGTGATCCAGAAGAGAAACGGCTGCATTGGCACTGCGCACCGCAACGCAACGCGGCGCAGCGAAGCTCTGCGAGTGCGTGTGCGCGAGTCCACACAGCACAGAAATGCACAGCATATACCACAACACATCGCAGCACCAAGCTAGTGTGTGTGTATTGTGTGTTGTGTGTAGTGTGTATGTTGTGTGTTGTGCGTACAGTGCGTTGCCTTTGCACCACCACCACCACCACCACCACCACCATTATGCATGGCCGTGGCTGGATTATTTCATCACGGCGTGTTCGCCTACATCCGTTCGCAATTAGCATTTCCATTTGCCGACCGCGCTTGAGGTTCCTCTGCGCCGCCGTCTTAAAAAGTGTGTCGTGTGTGTTATGTGTGCGTGTGCGTGTGCGTATGTTCGCGCGATTGTCCGTAGAAGGTAGACGACGACGATGGTCGAGGTTCTTGGTCGATTTGCGCGCGCAGTGGACTTCCTAAGATCTCTCTGGTCGCCTCTGTTTGTGCCCCGTCCCTCTTTCGATGTATATACATGTGTATATTCACATATATGTATAACATGTTCCTGCATACATAGATATATATATATATATACAAATATGTATATATAGATATCGCTCTCTCATTCTCCCTCTGTGTATATATATATATATCGACACCAGCATTCTGCGGAGCCAGAGGCATAGAGAAGCATGCAAGGCGAAGCAGCGGTGGGCGGCTGAGCAGGGCATAGGAAGTCGGGGGATCGCCAATCCAGGTCTTCACAGGGCTGAAGTTCGAGGACGAGGACAGCCAAGCCACGGCGCGCCGTGTGGGCTACGCGTCGCTCGCCTTGGCTGGCTTAGCGCTCTTACACGCGATGCTTCAGGCGCGTTCTTTGCTTGGTGCTCTTCTTGTGGATTCATAGCTGCAGCTTCTGAACGTAGAACTGACAGGCATTGACGTGGCACCAACGCCTCTTGTCGGATGCGTTTCGAACGTATTGACGTTTTGCGTATTCCCAATATCGCATTCAGAGTTGTCGCGAGAAACAAGGTGGCAAAGCATCCGTGAATCACATACAGTCAAACCAATGGAGGGGAGATCAGTCAAACAAAAGTAGAGGTCAGACTAAGCAACCCCCAGCGGGGCCATTTCCATGTCAAAGCCACTTGAAGGCCTCTCGGAGCCATCTTCGGATTCTGCTGGGACCCGTTCGGCGGCCTTCTGGGCCAATCGTGGGGCCCTCAGACCCTTTGGGAAGCCTTTTGGATCCCTTTGGGGGGCCAGCGACCAAAATATGGGGCGGCGCCGTTTTGAAGCTGGGAAGATCCTCTCTTGGGCCTCTCTGGGGATGCTGCTGGGGAGCTCTGAGGTGCTCGTGGGAATCCTCTGGGCCCCGGGTGACCCTTTTGGACAATATCGAGGCCATCTTGCAGACTCCAGGGCCCATTGATTGTTTCTGCGTGCTGGATTGGGCATGTTTGGGATATTCGGGGACAGTTTGGAGGCCATATGGAGGCGCTCTTGGGGCCTCTCGGAGCTATCTTGGAGGCACCAAGTAGGGCTGTCTGCTACCGCCTTGGAGCCATCCGAAGCAGTTTTGGACGCGCTGACGATCCACGACACCCCCGGTCCAGACCCCCAGGGAGGTGCCAGGGGCAAGGCCCACATTCCCAAACGGAAAGTCACCTGCTCTCTCGCCCATCAACAGGTGGCTAGCAGCCGAGACCCAGCATGCGCAACGATCGCCATGCCATGGACAGCCATGGGTGACCACAGTAGGAATTTGTCGTGCCGATTGCGAAAAGGTGCGCCAGATGCGCTGAGTGCATCAGGTGCATCGAAACCGTCAGGCGCCGCAGGTCAGACTGGAGCGCGAGATGCGCCAGGCGCTCCAGGGACGCCAGATGCGCCAGGTGAAACACTCCAAGCGTGGTACCTGCGCCACGCGAGCCAGGTGGAGTCAGACGCCGCAGGCGCGCCAGATCCGCCAAGCTCGCCAAGTACGCCCAGTGCGCCAAGCGCACCAGGTGCACCAGTCGCTCCAAGCGCGCCGTGTGCTCCAAGTACGCTATGCGCGCGAGGGACACTGGTTAGCTGGGCCCCCCAAGTGCGATCGATGCGGCAGGCGCGCCAGGTGCCCAATGCGCCCATGATGTCGACGAGCGTGAACACAATCACGCTTGCGCCCACACGCAAGAGACACGGGAACACCATGCATTGTTTTGTGAGTGGCGGCGGGGGGGGCACGTATTGTTCAGCGTGCGTGGTTCAGAGTCGTGTTCTCTTTTTGGTATTGGCTGCATGTTGCAGACGGGGGGGGGTGCGATGTGGGTGTGTGCGGCACTGGTGTTTCACCAGGGCGGCGGGCGCATATTGTCCGGAGCGTGCCGCCCTGAGCACTTCGTGTTGTTTATATATGAGGACGGCCAGGTGCGGTAGCTGACCCTGGCGGGCGGCCACCCGTAGCAGGACAGGGGAGCAAAAAGAAGCAGAAGCACATCTTTCCCCGAAGGGGAAGACGAACTTGTTTGGGGAATATCGGGCGGACCTCGCTCCATTTACGCCCAGAAGGCGCGTGGGGTTCTCAGTCCGCCTGCGTGCGACGAGGTTGAAGGTGATGCGTGGCGATATTGCACTGGCAACGACGAGCTGGTCGCACTCTGCATGAGTTTGTCGATCTAGCGTGCTATTCCTTGATGAACAATGCAGTCCTTACCAGAGGCCGCACAAGGAGAGAGGGAGGCTGAATCACAGAGAAGAGGGTTCGATGATGAAAAGAGTGGTCGTCCTCTGCACGCCAGCATGTGCCAGAAACGTGACGTGAGTCAGCTGAATTGAGTGGTAGACGCACAGTGCCACTCATGTTGTCTTGTTGTCGTGTGTCGCATCGGCCACATGGGTGTGTTGTTCGTCAAGCTCAGCTCAAGTCCCAACATAGTTCTTGAACACAGCACCGTTACGCACAACGAGTACTATAGAACCTCAGGCCATATTTCAGAGCGCTTGCATGCAGAACTGGAATCGCACATTGCCTGCATTCAGAGTTTCGTAAGCATAGGTGCAAGCAGGAGTTTCTGACTTCATTGCATCTTCAAGTGGCGAAGCCGAGGCAGCCTGGCGCCACGAGGTGATGAACACGACGCTCCACCTCGTTCTGGGGTTCCTAGCCCGAGTCTGCTTTCTGCGGCGCAGGAACCCGTCAATCAAAACCGAAGGGGATGCAAGCACAGGCTCATTCCTTGATCACGAACTTGAGGCTTGCTCCTGGATTCAACTAAGCAGCTATCAATATTTAGATTGAGTTCGCGCCCTCATGCAAGTGGCACGCCGAATGGTTACAAGCACGGCCGTGAAGCCGCGAATTGCATTGTGATTTGTAGAGTGTAGGGGGGATCCGTACGCAACTCAGGCATGGCGAGCGCAGACAGTCTGCACCCGTGGCAACCCAAGCAGTGCATGTGGAGCCGTTTGGGGCATCGTAATATATGCAGACTCCTGCAGGAATCTGCGCAGGCTACACAAAATCTAGCCTCGTACAGCCCTCGACAGAAATTGCATCAGAAGTGGTTGACGCGCCCCGTTTCGCTCATTCAATGTCGCCCCCTTCAATGTCAAAGCAGAGCGAAACGCGGTCTGGGCGGGTGCGATTCGGAAGTTCTACGATGACCGACTTCGGAGAGGGGGCGCCAACAAGTACCTTCCGCGTATGACAAGGAGATTGCGTAACACGTGTTTGATGTCAGTTTTGTCTAAGACAGTAGGAGCTTTGGGGGAGGTCCAAGGACTCGACGCTTGAATTATTTTAAAAAGGACTCTCGCGAAGGGGGTGGCAGCGATTCGGATGGTCGGCAGCTGCCCGCGACAAAGTCCGTTCGAGCCATGGGGCCAAGGTCGGTGGCTTGCGCAGAAAACGGTGAGCTCACCGCGCGGACTCGAGAGCAGCCGGGAGTGGAGGGGAGAAGGGAGGGGTAAGGGAGGGGCGTTGACAGGAAGGGGGGAAACGGCCACAGGTGGGAAGGCGGCCGGGCATGAAAGGAGAACGGGCCGGGGTGATTCGGAATTCAAGACTCAAGGACGATGCCCCCCCGACGGCTATCGCATAAAAGCTCCACCGGAGGAGCAAGACGCAAGCCCCACTCGAAGACCCCGAGGGGGCTGGGTCAGAGAGCTTGGGCCCCCATCTCGGGGGACGGCCGCACGCGAGCAGCCCATGGAGGAGGCACCGCCGGCATGTTCTCTGCAGAGCGAGGGGCACCGCGCAGGCCAGGCGAGGGCGGCCCAGGAGTGGGAACAGGGTAGGGGAGCCCCTAAGTTTAAGTCGGGCGTGTCCCTCTACAGGAGAAATAATATTCAAAAATGGTCCAAACATAGTCTGGGGACGATTTGTTTGACTATTTGGGGTCATTTTGGCGCATTTGTTTTGACTATTTTTCATTTTTCGTCCAAAATCTGCCTGTAGGGGGACACCCGACCTAACTCTAAGTGGATGTACAGGTTTGGGCGCTGGTCGAAGATGCCACGCACGCTGATGGCAGACGGCAGTAAGAGCTGCACTGGACGACCGCGGGGGGCGATCCATGGAGCAGAACATGAGGTGGAGTCCCTGACTGTGCATACAGGTCTGGGCACGGCGCCTGAGGACGCTCAAGGAGGCGGTGTCGTAGCATGCTGTGCAAGAGCAGAAATCTCGTCTAAAAGTCGTCGGGCTGCTGCGAGATCGCCCTGGGCGATATCCTGCGTCGTTGCATTTGGGGATGTCCCATTTGGCGGGGGCTGGGGGCCCTGGGGTGTTCGCTCACATCGCTGGGCATCTGCTCACGGCTTGAGGGCAGGCAAAACTGCACCCGACTTTGGGTCCTCATTTCCACTGCAAGCCGTTTCTGTGAAATGGCAGCCAGCTCGCGGGCTGCAGGATCGCAAGCTCACGGCGACCATCATCACGAGGCTCGCGAACAGGAGGCGCACGCTCAGCAGCGTCTACACCAGTACACTACTGATGCACCCAGCGACAGGAGGGCCGAGGACAGGTGACACTACGCGAGGATGGCCATGGTCCGTGGCTGCAGCACCAGCGTCGCGACGGAGACGAGCATCAGGAGCAGGGTCATCGTCAGAGTCACAAGGGTCACGAGCATGAGCAGCATGGCCAGCGTCGGCACGAAGGACACGAACATCATGAGTTATGTTGCTCCCATCGTACTTAGGACCGAATCCCAGAAATAATTTCGAACACCCAGAAAAGTATCGAAACAGTGTCGAAGGAGTATCGCCTTCCAGAGCCCGACACGTGAAAACCCTTCCGTTTCGGTATTTTCTCGGTGCTCGAAGATTTTTCTGGTGATGAAGGCTAAAGTAGGTTGGACCATTAAAAATCATGAGCAGGATCAGCGCCGTCATTCCCAGTGGAGTGCGGAGCGGTGCCGGCCAGCTCCGCTGGAGCAGGGACCTCCAACGCACGCCCGGCGGGCAGCCTTGCGCTCGCCAGCGGCTCGGGGCCAGTAGCTGCCTGCCTCCATGAAGGTGTCGACGTCCGCGTTTGGCTCGGCCGTCGGGCCGGGCTCCTCCATGGTGGCATACACATCGGCGCCATCCTCACCTTCGGAGTGCCTGGGCACACCTCGAAGGGGTACATCTCCAACACCTGGAGCTGAATGCGCACCAAGGAGGACCTCATCACAATCCCGGGTGAGAGCAGGGAAGGGTACACGAACAAGCGCCAGAGAAGGCCCCGCGGTCTCGAAACTGCCGGTGGAGTCGATGATCGGGCCGCCCAGCCGAACGCCTGCCACTGCTGGCAGACGGGCCAACGCATGCACCTGCGGTGGATGAGCCATCTCCGCGGGCAGTTGGGCCGCCTGCCCCGAAGGATCCTCGGGAGGTGGCCGCGGCAGGTCGCGCAGCCCACGGGCCGCCGCCCGGGAGTGCCCCGCCGCTGCGCGGGCCGGCGGACCCGTTGCCTGCGGCGACGTGCCGGGGTCGCGCCCACGGGGCGACGCGGCGGCACGGCACGGACGTCGCAGAAGGGGGCACTGTGCCCCAGGACGGGCTGACGGCGGGGGGCTGAGAGGAACGCGGGCCTGCCAAGAGGAAACGGCCCCCACCTCGGGGCCACCCAGGGCCAGGGGGAAGGGAGGGAGGAGGGAGGAGGGAGGCGAGGCGAGAGGAGGGCAGGCAGGGAGGGCGGGCGGAAGGAGGCGGAGAGAACAGGACACTTTCTACGCCGCAGCGCGGCAGGGTCCGTCCGCACGCGCGTTCGGCAAGCCGGGCACCGGCATTGCGAATTGTCCCGAATGCAAGAGAGGAGGAGGAGGAGAAGAGGGCCGGCCGCGGGAGACGGAGAACAGGGGGGTAGAGAACGGAGCGCAAGAGAAGGGGGGAGGCAGGGAGCGGCGTTGTGCGGGCGCCCTCCGCTCCCGTCAGTCTGCTGCTGCCCCTCGTCGGCTACCGCGGCGCCACCCTGGACCACGGCACACGCTGGCGGCCGCGGCTGCTCTGGGCCTTCCACGTAGGTGCTGCGGGCACGGGACAATCCAAAGCGCGGCCGTTTAAGTGCTTACCACCCCCTGGATTGAAATGTGGTGATCGGCACTATGCCAGGGAATACCCCCTGGGTCTTCGCCAATCGAAGGAAAACTCAAGCATCGACCGTCGATCGATCCCAAGTAACTCCCAGACAGTCGTGGCCCGAACGGAGGACAGGCGATGTCGCTGCTCTCAAGCGGCATGGAGATGGATCGGCAATTGCTTTCTGAGGAAGTCCCTCGCGAAATCGCCACTTTCAGATGACGCGGCTAATTTTCAGATCGCCCTGGAAGGCGATCTGATTTTTTTGTTGCGGGAGTCTCAAGCGGAATCGCAGTATCAGACGCTGACCCCACTTGGCTGTTATAATATTGAAAGGGGTGAGAGATGCATCTGCAATTCCCGAATCGGCCCTGAGTCCAACATTGTCCCGGGGCCCCGTGGCCTAACGGGAGGCCAACCGCAATTTTCTCGATCCCCACGGTCCACTTTTTAATCCAGCGGGTTGTAGGTCCCAAGCCACCCCCACTTCTCGTCCAAGCAGCGCACCAAGGCAAGGAGGGGAGGGTTGCTCGAGCGGAGAAGCTGGCACATTTGCAAACTACCGTGGCGGAAAGCCGTTAGTTTTCCAGAAGTCCAGGCCAAGCCCCGAAAATCGAGAGTGTGATTCGATGTGGACGAGCACCACGGGCGTTTCTGCCTTGTTGAAGGCCCAACGAAGGACCCCGTTAGAAGTTGCAGTGGTTTTCTAGGCGCTCATTTGGATTACACCACCTCCGGCGATCACGATGTTTCGATCGCTAGGGTCGATTAGATTGGAGACGCGCTGAGTGCAGCGTAGAGGGAACTTCTCGAGTGCCTCTCGGGGATCTCCGTTGGCATGTCTTGCAATTGGTTGGGCCCCACGCGGGCGTTAAAAGAATATGTTGGAAGCTTCGGGCCATTCTGGTGTTCCTCTTCACGAATTGGGGGAGGGGAGTGTCATGGGGCCGTCTGTGAATGCCGTTTAGGCCGCGTGAGTCACACGTTTGGTGGCCCGTTCGATTGCAAAGCCCCAGCACAAAGAAAACGGCTCGCTGCCGCCCAGGCAATGTCATCTTTGTCATTGTGCACGCGGTGATGCTTGCCACCGTTGTCATGAAGGCAAACGGGAGCAAATGTCAGACTTGTGGAGTGATGGAACGAGCAAATACCCATATCTGTAATAGGAATGGTCTGCGCCGAATGGAAATACAACCATTGATGTTATGCGGCAGTTCTGTTGGATAGCCAAAAGCAGGTGGACGTGTTGCTTTGAGCCCAGTTTGCCACAGTGCTCTTCTCACGTTGTTTTCGCATGACTACGCCACGACCATGAAAGTTCACAGGTTGGCCATGGTTGCATCTGCCGTGGCCCGTAGGTACGCATCCGTCGCGCACGGATGTTGGAAACGAGTGGGCGAATCCGTCATGCCTACGGCACGCCCAGGCAACATGTTCTTCATTCGAATCGTTGATTGCTGTGGACGCCAATTCGGGGCTGGTATTCTTCACACGGTTGCCATTAAACGTGTGGCACGGGCCAGGGCCTGCTTCACGCGTGAAGCGTTTTCCGCGCTCCATCTCCGAAATGGCACACTTGCACGCCGTCAAGCCCTTGTGTGAGAAATTCTTTTTATGATTTGGATAAACATAAGCGCGCAAGCTGAAGCTGCCGAGATTTCCGACGTATCATTGGGCATGGTGCCGGTTGAAGAATATTGCATATATTTCCGGGAGTGCTCATGTTTCTGCCTTTTAGGTCATATCGGGCGCATGTTTCCCGCCACATCTCGACAACAATACCCGTTTCAAGTTTGCGATACAGTTCTGCCATTTCATCCTTAGCAAGGCCAACTAACATGTAAGCAAGATTAGCCGCATGTTGTTTCATTGATGCGGCCATTGACGAAAGGGTTATATCATCTTGTTTCGTTTTTCTGCGAGTTCCATGTAATCCATAATTTCGCTATTCACTGTAACTGCATAGCTATCGAACTGAAAAGACCAATCCGGCCAATCGCATCTTTGCCAGATAATTCGTTGACGCTCTTCCCGAAAATTGTCGTTTCGTCCAACCCTTGTGCCAGGTTTCACGCGTGATGTGTTTCGATCGTGATGTGTTCTGGTCGTGGATTGTTTGATCGTGAAATAAGGAAGCACTATGTGCCTGGATTCGACTTCAAGCGCAAGCGCTGTGGACATTGTATATGATGCTACCTGCTCATGCTGTGCTCTCCCATCTGCCCGCATTCGAACACCTCCTCATCCTCCTGCTCCTGCTCTTGTCTCATCCGCCTCATGATCATGCTCTTACCTCATCCTCCTCCGGCTGCCTCCTCCTCCACTCCTTGCCTCCCCATCCTCCTCCTCCTCCTCCTCCTCCTCCTCCTCCTCTGGCCTCCTCCTCCTCCTCCTCTTCCACCTTCTCTGCGTCCTCTTTCTCCTCCTCATTATCATCATCAGAATCAGCATCGTCATCATTATCATCATCATCATCAGCAGCAGCATCATCATCATCCTCACCGCCATCGTCATCGTCATAGTCATCGTCATCATCGTCATCATCAGCATCATCATCACCATCATCATCATCCTAATCATCCTCATCATCCTCATCCTCATCCTCATCCTCATCCTCGTCATCCTCATCATCACCATGTTCCGGAGACTCTCGGGGCCGCTTGCCTCCTCCTGGGGCCTCATGTCTTCTCTTGAGGTCCCGTTGCACCCTGGATCCTCGACCTCCCAGGGCCTCCATAGGTTGCTCCATGGGCCTCCTGGTGTACTCACGTGTCTTCCAGGGTCCTTATGGGGCCTCCTGGCACTCAGATTTGCAAAGGCACGGCACACCCTACCCCGTTTGCCCCATTTGCCCCGTCACGGCCCAGAGTTGCACCAGCACGGCGCCCGTAGGCCCGTTTGGGTTGGCACGGCTTAGATCTACACTGGCACGGCGTTCAAAGGCCCGTTTGCATTGGTCCAGCCGAGACTTGTAACTATTGTCACGGCACCCCCAGGCTTGTTTACACTAGCACAGCCCAGATTCGCATTGGCACGGCGCCCTCCGCCCCATGTGCATTGGCACGGCCCAAAGTCGCATTAGCACGACGCTCCCAGGCCCGCTTGGACTGGCACGGCCCAGATTTCCATTGGCCCGGCGCCACCAGGTTCGTTTGCACAGGGGCGGTTCAGATTGGCAACAGCACGGTGCGCCCCGCTCAGTTTGCATTGGCACAGCCCAGATTTGCACCAGCACGGCGCCCCCAGGCCCGTTTGCATTCGCACGGCTCAGATTTGCATTTTCATGCATTGGCACGGCGCCACCCGCTCCGTTTGCACTGGCACGGCCCAGATTTGCATCTGCCCCGCGCTTCCTTGCCCCGTTCGCACCAACACTGCCCAGACTTGCATGGGAACGGCGCCCCCAGCCCCGCTTGCACTGGCGCAGCCCAGATTTGCACCAGCACGGCGCCCCCAGGCCCGTTTGCATTCGCACGGCTCAGATTTGCATTTTCATGCATTGGCACGGCGCCACCCGCTCCGTTTGCACTGGCACGGCCCAGATTTGCATCTGCCCCGCGCTTCCTTGCCCCGTTCGCACCAGGCGCCCAGGCGCCCCCCCCAGCCACAGTTTCATTTCGTTACCTCGGCGCCTCTGGGTACGCTTGCATCCTGGCGACGCCCAGATCTTCATTGCCACAACGCCCCCCAGCCAGTTTGCATTAGCACGGCCCAGATTTGCATTGCCGCAGCACCCCCGCGCCGTTTGCATTGGCACGGCGCGCGCAGGCCCGCTTGAATTGGCACGATGACCCTTGCCCAGCCTGCACTGGCACGGCCCCGATTTGCATTGGAAGCCCGCATTTGCTAACGGCGCCTTCTACATTGCCCACATTGCCATTTGCATTGCCCCACGGTGCATCGGCCCCATTACATTGCCCATTGTTGCATTGCACGGCCCAGATGTGCATTGGCACGGCGCCCCCAAGCCCGCTTGCATTGGCACAGCCCAGATTTGAATTGTCACGGTGCCCCCAGGCCTGTTCGCGCCAGCACGGCCCAGATGTGCATTGGCACGGCGCCCCCAAGCCCGCTTGCATTGGCACAGCCCAGATTTGAATTGTCACGGTGCCCCCAGGCCTGTTCGCGCCAGCACGGCCCAGATGTGCATTGGCACGGCGCCCCCAAGCCCGCTTGCATTGGCACAGCCCAGATTTGAATTGTCACGGTGCCCCCAGGCCTGTTCGCGCCAGCACGGCCCAGATGTGCATTGGCACGGCGCCCCCAGGCCCGTTTGCGTTGGCGCGGCCCACATTTCGGCGCCCCCAGAATTGGCACGGCGCTTGTCGTTCCACTCGCGATGGCACGGCCCAGATTTGTATCGACACTTCGCCTCCAGGCCAGTTTGCATTGGCACGACCCAGATTTGCATTGGCACGGCGCCCCCCGCCCCACGTGCATTGGCACGGCCCCGATTTGCACTGGCACGGCGCTTTTCGTCCCACTTGCGTTGGCACGGCCCAGGTTTGTATCGGCACTTCGCTTCCAGGCCAGTTTGCATTGACACGGCCCAGGTTTGCATTGGCACGGCGTCCCCCGCCCCACATGCATTGGCACGGCCCAGATTTGCATTGGCACGCCGCCCCCAGGGACCGTTTGCATTTGCACGGCTCTGATTTGCATTGGCATGTCGCTTTCAGGCCCGTTTGCTTTGGCACTGCTAGGGTCTGCATTGGCACGGCGCCCCCCGCCACGTCCGCACCAGCACGGTCCAGATTTGTGTTGACACGGCGCTTCCCGCCCTGCTTGCAAAGTGGCGACAGGGGCCTGCGACAGTGGCGCAGTTGGCAGTTTCCCAGGGAGCTGCGACGTCTCGCCTGCCTTCCGCCTCCACTGGGCCTTAGGAACTCACGAAAGTGGCGACAGTGTCGCAGTTGGCAGCCTCCAAGGGTGCCGCAAACGTTGAGTGGTGACAGCGCCCACGGATGCGGGGAGGCCAGGGGGCAGAAGGAGGAGGAGGGGGATCTATGAGAGGACTATTCCAAACGGAAACCCAGCACAGGAGGGCTTGGGGGGAAAAATAAGCGTCGTTAGTATTCCGATGACCCCCTCGGATTCGAACATGAAGTGCGGGCCCCATGTAAGAGGTTCCCGCTGGAGACTTCCTATCGGTTGACTCACAGATTAGGCCCCCGCTCGAGAACTCTTGCAGATGAGTGTGTACGTGTATGCATGTTTGTGGGCGTGGGAGTGTGGAAGTAAGTGCGCGAATGAGTGCGTGAGCGTGCATGTGATGATGTGGGTGTGCGGTTTCTCTCTGCGCGGGAGGGGAGCGGAGAAAACAAAAATTCCGTCGATGTGTGGGAAACAAGAATCCCATTTACGATGCGCGCAAGGAGGATGATAAAGAGGATGATGAAGAGGATGATGATGTTGATGCTGATGATGATGATGATGACGACGATGACGATGATGATGGTGGTGATGATGGTGACCATGACGATGATGATGATGATGATGATGATGATGATGATGATGATGATGATGATGATGATGATGACGATGATGATGATGATGATGATGAGGAGGAGGATGATGGTGATGGTGATGATGATGGGACGATGACGATCACGATCACGATCACGATGATGATGGGTAATGGTGAGCTGGCTGCGCTGATCATGTTATGAGTGTGTGAATATGGTTCGTGGATGTGTTGTTATATTGAAAATTGCGCTGGGGTGCGCAGGGAAAAGCAATAAGCCCAACTAAGGGGTGAGGACTTATGGAACAGAGACACTGCTTCCGAAACGCAGACTTGAAGCCGCGGGCCACACGTCTTCTTGAAAACGGCGATGCTGGTTAGTGTGGGCAATTATTCCCACCTTGCATATTTATTCCGAAGGATACACATTGCAGTTGTTAATTTTCCGCCCGGAGCTAAGCAGATGTGTTCGAGACCAGTACGAGTTCCGCATGTGTGCTTTGCACAGTTCGTACGCGCACGAGTGCCATAATTCAGCCTGTATGTTTGTACGCGTTGTGTTCGTGTCATGTAACTGGATCAGCGCACTCTTCCATACGGGGCTCACGCGTAAGTACAGGCGTTTGCGAGAATATGATTCAAATTCGCCGCGGCCGCCCCAGCCAGATTGTATCTGAACCATGCCCGCGGCCTTCTGGAAACCTGTGGACTTCGTGGTCTTATCGCAGATGGAGCGCCCCGCATGCTACCAAGGAAAAGCTTCGTCTTGGCGGTTTTGAGAAGCTTCGAAGTCCTGTACCGAAGAAATGCTCGAAGCAAGCGTACGATCTTGGCTCTTCTGGAGTCCACAAAAACAGCTGTCCACCACTACGACAAGAACACGTTGCAGCTGCACCGCATAGCGGTTGATCTCAACGACCCGTTGGTTCAGTTCGTCTTCGTCGAAGCCGATGAACGCGACCTTCCGCGCCCATCGTGTTCGAAAAAACAAAATGCCGATTGTTGATTTTGCGCCACGGCTATTTCAACCGCATGACGCCGTTTTATGAACGCGGGCAAAATTCTGGCCGTCGAAAACAGTATGGTCAGACCGACACGAGTCAGCCGCGCGTGATTCCGCCATCGGTTATATGAAACATGTCGGCCCGTGTGGATTCCAAACAGTAGGTTCATTGCATTGTGAACGTGCGAACTATGTGATGCAGACTACGTGGTGCCCATGATGCAAGCTATGTGGTGTAACAGCTATGAGGTACCACTTCGACAGACCCCCCAAGCGCGGATGGCGGCAACGAGGCGGCAACAGGCGGCGACACGGCGAAACCGCGACGGACACCCCAAGTGGACGGCACGGAGGCGGGAATGGG